AATTTATTGGTTTAAATCTGTTTTTACAGGTTAGCAGAATGTGGATAGAAATGAAAACATATTCCATACAAAATGGAGAAGATATTGATACAATATTATTGAATAATATAAATGAATTAAACAATGCTTTTGAGTTATGTGCAAAAGATATTCAAGAATCTATGAAGGAAACTGTAGATGATATGGATTTCATTTTGCTCAAAACAATCCTAACTCCACTACAAATTCAAAAAATAAATTCTTCAAAATTCCTATTAAAAAAGAACAGTGAAATGTATTTCGTAAGTTGTACAAATATCAAAAACCAAAACGGTGAATATTTTAGTTCAATAATAGGTAATTTAGATGAAAACGATAGAATTATTATATATAACGGTGTTGTACTTAAACAGTTTACTATTGTCAATCCTAAATTATTAACTGTTTTAGTTCGACCTCAAAACAACTCTTCAGTCATTTTGTTTAAACATAAAATTTCATTAGAAAAATCATTACTTGGAGAAAATCTTTCCCTATTAACTGGCTCTGGTATTTATAGGATTTCTGGAATTATAAAAAAAGTTGTCCTATATGATGAGTTGATGGTATTAAAATAACAATGTCGCGATGAATCAAAATTAAAAACTCTCCAATATTATCATTTTTTTAAATTATTTAAAAATGTTGCGAACAATCTATCAAAGTCTTTGGTAAAATATAATATTTTTTCAAACGAAGTAGATGTATTAGTTATAACCCCAAGTAATGATTTTACTTCATTGTTATCTACCCAAAAAATATGTTTAAGCAATTTAGAAGTTAAAAATATAAACGATTCAGACATATTTTTATTATTTATTAAGGGATTTAGCCAAAATATAAAAGCTGTTACAATAGAAAGTGGTATAGTAAATTTTCTTAGACCGCCCACAAGACATTTTTCAATACCAGTAGAATTAAAGGCAGAAATTGATTACTGTAATTTCAAAAAATTAACAACTGATGTACAATTGGTAGTGAACAACAGTGTTGTGCAGCTAAATACAAATACAAGGAAGATATATACTAAAAGACAAATTTCATATGGCACACATTTATTTAGTTTCTTTAACTCTCAGTCAAACATTTTTTTATTTAATTTTGAAAACCAATCTAGACAGTGTCTAGGTCTTGGTAGACTTATTTCTATTGAACCAAACAAATTCGATAAATATGAAATGGTAAGTGGATACTGCTTTAAATGTTCAGCATTTATTCAAAAACGTTTCCTTCATTGTACAACTCAATCTTCTAATTTTGTGTATACTTGTCCTAAATGTTTTGAAATTGTACGTCTCACATTTTTTTTCATAATGTATTTTTTGTATGGAAATAATGAATCACAAGCTATTAAATTATACTGTTATGGCCAAATAGCTGAAAGCGTTATCAGAGAAATTTCGATTACAACAATTACACTTAATGACTATTTATCAAACCCATTTAAAAATAAAAAAGTTAAAAAAACCATAAGTCTACTTATACGCAAGAAAACTAAATTAAAAATAGTTTCTTCTCTTGTCGATAACAAAAACATACTTCTGTCATTATATTAAATAGGATAAATTGTTACAACCATAATAAACAAAATTATTATTATACATTTGTACTTGTTTATTTTATAATACTATTGTAAATAAGATTTATATATTAGTCTTTATTATATTTTTATATATATTGCATTATTATTTTATAATTGTATTATATGTCTATTCTTGTAAAAGCCGATTGGTATTAATTTTAAAATATTATATAATTTTAAACTGGGTTAAGTAAATTTATTATTTTTCTTTATCCTGTAATTGTTGTTAAGTACTTTATTATTAAATATTAATATTTAGGTGATTTCAATCAATAATTATTATTTTAATTTTGTCTTGTATACTATATTAATCATTAAATAATTTGTACCATATTATTCAATAATTATTTTGGACATGAAGAATATGATATAATTTCAGAAGTACTAACTGTACCTATGAATACCGGTAATTTAGAACTCAACAGGTAGTTGTTTCTCTTGAAGCCAAGTCCTTTTTGAAAATTGAAACCTATATTAACAGATCACTTAATAACTACACTGGTACAGCAGTACAGGGTCTTACTAAAAAAGTTATTTGTGTGCAAGTGAGGAAAAAAATAAATGGGGGTACTCCAGATATATTTTGATTCCACTGACTGTATGAATTGTTCGGTTTTCATGGTACTACAGAGAGTTCTGCTTAATGTGATCGCTAACTTATAGAATAAACTGTTTATTGGAATCAAAAAAGATAAGCCCTAACTTATTCTTATGTTAAAGATGTTGAGTTTACTTTTTACTTGTATCACTATATACTGTTTAATTAAACTTTATACACATTTGAATTGATTCTATGACTTAAAACTGATTTTGTTAAAATCAATAATTGGTATGAGGTATACAATTGTATTTTCAAACTAATCAGTGTATTGATATACATAGTTATCATTGTACATCTAATTGTTTTAATTTTTGTTTAAATATTTTTCTTACATTACGTCGAGCAAACGGAAATATTTATCAACAAAAGAAAAAAAGTTAACTATTTTGATGAGTTGGAAAGATACTTGCGAAGAGAAGCTGTATTAATTTTAAAAACTTCCCAGCTTATAATAAATACAATTTCAGACATCGTAAGCAAATTAACAAAAATGAAGTAAATAATTTTCCCGAAAACCTAAACAATTTTACATTTTAATGTCAGGTTAATATGAAAATCAAATTTAACCTAAAATAAAATTGAGTTGGTTTTCTTTATTTTAAATTTTATTTGAAGTTTAAGTTCAAATATAGAATGATAAATAACAAAAAATAGATGTTTTGTATAGTCAATAGTTGATAGAATCAAAATGACCAGCACCAATTATGTCACGAAACTGTATTAATTACTACCGTCTGCTAAATACTAAAAATTTAATTTTTACTCATACAATTAAATTATATGTAACTTAGCTCAATTGATTTTGTATATCATTAAAAACCACCTTACCAAAAAATGAAGTAGTTATAATATATCATGCATATTATGCTAAATTGCTAACATTATAATTGTTAATCATATAATTTATATATAGCATGGCAGTAAGACGTCAGTGAAATAGAAACACAGATTGCCTTTGGCCCACCTATGTGCACATATATAAAGATTTATCTAACACCATAATTATTATGTATGGTTACCTAACTAATTATAAAAATTAATTTATACCAATTTACATGAAGTACAAATATGAGAATTCCATACATAAGGAAATAACTATATGAGGTGAGATATCACATATACTAGGACTCTACTATGTTAAAATTCATAAAAAAGTGTAAACAGTACATTTGTGTAAGGTCATAAAGATATATATTATTGAAAATATTTGATTTATATACCCACTTAAATAAAATTAAATAAAAATAAATTATTTAAAATTACATTTTTATTTATAATTATACCTACATTCAATAACTGTACAATACAAATGTATGAAAGCAGTTTTAAAATAATAGGACAATTATTTATTATACTATGTGTCTATATTGACTATTGTATTGCTTCAAAAACAGTGAGTGAATAGTTACAGAACTATTAAATTTAATCAGGCAACAGGCAATATCTATAATATTAATCTGTTTTACTTAAAAACGAACTAAACATTTTGGTTAACAATATTCAATATATTATTATTTATCATTATCTAGTAGTTTAATTGTGAATTAAATTGTTGTGTCTTTCATACACCTTTTATGATCTGCGAATTGATTAAAAGTGTTGTTCACTATTTTTTTATTTTTACTAATTGTTAATTTACTTTTTTAATAATATAAAGACAAAGGAGTTGTGATCTAAATGTAATATTTAAAAAGAAGTGTGTAATCTAATTTAAATATATATATGATGTATAAATGTACAATGTATTAGGTACTATTTCACATGAAAGTACCTCCGCTGGATAGTGGGAGGTCTCTTACTTTTTTCACTAGGTACCTCTGAATATCTTGTCATTATTGTTTATAATATTATCAATTAATTTTAATAAATATTAATATTATTGTAGAACACATATAATAGAAGCTATTTTCTTGTCTAAATAAAAATTATATCAATATCAATGCATTTGTTTTTAGAAAAATACAATACACATTTTAACGCTTTAATATGTAAGTCTCAAAGACTAATGTTTATACTGTTGAAAAAAACTATAAACGAACAATTTTAATTCTTATAGGTATAATTGTCAATGCAAGGGAATTGAATGGCTAGATTCATATGATATTACACTTAGGTAATGAAGAAAAAATTTAAGGGGGAGTCTAATTTTTTATTTTTTTAGTTATGAGCATTTCAACTTTTATTTAAACAAAACACGGTTTACTGTAGTTTGTATTTTTATTTTATTATTCTACAGAATGATAACAAAGATACCTTAAATATTTGTTCTCGTAAACTTTATCTCTTTGTTTGTATATACCTGTGGCTCACCTGAGCTTTATGTGCGGTAATTTATTATTGTCCATTGACCATCATTACAAACACGAAAGTCGTGTCCGTTTTGCGGCATTATAGATGATATGAAAACAAAATGTAGTATTCTATGTATTAAAAACCTGTAGAATTATAAAATAAAAATAAAATATGCAGTAAGTAAGGCGTTATTTGGAGTTACAATCGATAATAAAACGAGATAAATGTCTCTGTAAAGACACCGCAGATCACCCATAGATAATCAAGATTTTCAAAGAAGAATTTGAAGTGTATCGATAAGTATCGGGTCAATTATGAGCGTTCAAGATATTACACGACCAATTTAATTGTGTATATTATACGTATTGAATTTTTTTTCTTGAAAATCTTGAAGTTCTTATATTTTCTAAGGGCTCATCAAATACATTGGGCTCCGGTTATCTAAATTATATTTGAGTGATAACAGCACGTTAACATTGTTAACGTGTGTGCGTGAACGTGAAACGATAAGTGATAACAAAAGATCGCTCATCTAGTGAGAGTCATATTAATTATTCGCTGCGAGTTCAGCTGCCTGGTCCCGGCTGTGTATTGTGTAACGACGTTAGATCCTATCGCATTCGACAAAGCTGATCACGATTTTATTAATAGGGCTTCTAAAATCCTTCAGCTTTGAACATCTATCTTGTCCCATCGGCCTTTGTGCGTGGACATGCAACCGTCGTAATCGTTTACGATTTCGCCGGATACAGTGAAAATGGGAAAGAAAAACGTCTGCGTGGTGGTCTTGGGCGATATAGGTCGGAGCCCTAGGATGCAGTATCATGCACAGTCTTTGATCCACCAAGGTTTTGACGTTGACATCGTCGGATACACAGACAGCCCCGTGCTGGACGACCTGAAGGAGAATGCCACAATTATCAGTGTCCGAAAACCGTTTCCGTTCGACGAATGTGAGTAACGTCTTTACTTGATGTTTGTCCTGTCTGATACCAGTACAACATATATCCCAATTATCTATAAGATTTAATTTCGTACATTTTTGTGTGAGTCGCATATGATTAAAGCATGGTGTCATAGTGACTGTACACGACTGTTTGTATTCCACAGATGTGCCGCGGATAATAGCATTCCTGTTAAAAGTTGTATGGCAAACACTGACACTGTTTTGGGCCATATTAGTGAAGCGCAAATCCGATATTGTTCTAGTTCAAAACCCACCTGCAATTCCAACACTTGCTGTTTGCTGGTTTTATTGTCTGCTCGTCAATGCAAAATTTATAATTGACTGGCATAATTATGCATACTCAATACTTGCTCTGACATTAGGTTCCAATGCACCTCTGGTAAAAGTTTCCCTTTTCTATGAACACTTTTTCGGAAGACTATCTGATTTTAATCTATGTGTTACTGAAGCAATGAGAGAAGACCTGCATGAAAAATGGAATATTAAGCAAGTTTTTTATCAGTTACAATATTTTCACTTTTGAATTTGTCAAGAAAATATCTATATTATTTGTCTTTTTGTAGAGCTACAACACTGTATGATCGTCCAGGACCACAGTTTAAGACAATAACATTAACTGAAAAACATAATTTACTAAAAAAAATGAATTTAAATGATTTCACTGAAGTATCAGAATCTGGAGAGGTGCGATTAAAATCTGACAGGCCTAGTCTACTTGTGTCCAGTACTAGCTGGACCCCAGACGAAGATTTTTCAATTCTATTGAAAGCTCTACAAAGTATACACACAATTACCTACATATATTACTGATTTATTATAATCAATTGAACGGTTTAAATGTACCTATTTGTTATTCTTAACAAATAAAAATTTGTTTATCTTGTTATTATTCTATGGAAATGTTTCTAGGTAATTGTTGAGGAATATTTTACGGTGTACGTTTAAATCTCTATTTAGTTTATGAGATAACTGGGTCACCATAATACAATGTACATATTATGTTTCAGAATACGATGAAAGTGATGATATATATCCAAAACTCATTTGTGTTATCACTGGGCGAGGCCCATTAAAGCATCACTATCAACATATGATTTTCAAATTGAAATGGAAGAAAGTTTCAATCATTACACCTTGGCTTGAGAATAATGACTATCCACTTCTTTTAGGTAAAATTGAAAATAAATTATTTTTCGTGTAATATATTACCTGAATAATTTTAGCGTGTGCTGATCTTGGTGTGTGTTTACATGCCTCCTCTAGTGGTTTAGACTTGCCTATGAAAGTGATTGATATGTATGGCGTTGGCTTACCTGTTTGTGCATATGATTTTAAATGGTAATATAATTATTTCATTTATAGAAAATTCTAAGGTTGCTGCAATAAAATTTAATGTAACCAATTTATTTTAAAATTTTAACACATATTTATTTGTTTTAGCTTAAAAGAATTGGTTCGACATAACGAAAATGGTCTTGTATTCTCTAATGAAAATCAGCTTGCATTGCACATAATGACATGGTTTGAAAACTTCCCTTTTCAGATTTGTGAGAAACAAACTAGATTTCGCAAAGAAATTGATAATTTTCGGGCAGTTGATTGGCATACAAACTGGATGAATAATGCATATCCAATTTTTTCTAACGACAATGAATAGTGGATATCTATGTTTAAAAATTGTAGTGCATATTAATAACTTTATATAATGTAATACTGCAGGGATAAGTAATTTCAATTGTACAATGAATTTGTTAAAAAATTGAATTCCACTCTCAGATAACATATCTGAGAATATTATCATTTTCAAAATCTCTCTGGGAATATAGGGTAAAAAAATATAAACAAGAAATTGAACATTAATATAAATTTATTCTTTTGTATTCCAAGTATTTTTTTTTTTTTTATCGTTTAAATAGAAATGTCCAGTTTCATGGTATTACTAAATACTTCTAGCCTTTTCCCGTGTTATTTTATAAATAATATTTAATTATAATGGTAAAATGCGTACTTCATAATATCTTTAATTTGTATACCAAAAATAATTTATTGTTTTAAAGGAAACTAGCTATCCCGTCACGGCGTTGTCTGTGTATTATATAGAGCTAAAAAAAAACCCTTTTACCCCCTTAGAGGTCTAATTTTGAAAAATCCTTTCAAATATTTTAATATTTACAAATGATTATAATGATTCTATACACATATTATTATTAAAAAAAGATTCTATAGTTATGATTATAATTTGTTTAGTTAACACGTTTATCGCATATCAATAAATAAAGTATTATAATTTTTCGACAACGTAATTTGTATAATTGAGCTATTCGGTGTTTATCATACAACTCTGGACTTAATAAAAATATTATGTTAGTTTGTAGTTTAAAATGTTGTCAAGTATTCCTACGTCATAAATATAGCAGTTGCAGCCATTGCTACGTATGATCGTCAGTAGACAAATTAACTGGCGTAGTTTTGTGTCAAAACAAAGATCTATTATTTCAATATTATATCTTTTCTAGCTGATCCTAGGCTCTATATAAGACTCGCATGTGATAATGTGAGCAGTTTTTATCAGGTAGGCTATCAAAATGCACTCTGCAGTGGATTACGGACCCCTCTAGGTGCACACTATATGAATAATATGTTTAATTTTAATTTTATTAACTATTTTGAATGTATACATGCTGATGAGCGGCCGTAACTCAGCCAACAGCCACATTTTAACGATTAATTATGTTATATGGACAATTTTATAAGCTAATGCTTTCTGTAGCTTTTTCAAAATGTTTTCATAAAAACCTTCTCCTGACAATTAAGAACAATTGAAAAAAAATTGAGCCAAATAAGCCCAGCCGTTTTCAATTGATGAATTGTTATACATTTTTGGCTCCATTTATATATATATAGATATCAAATTATTTAATTGAGTATTTAAAATAAAAATAATATAAATATTCAATACAAATATTCAATACAAATTTGTTTCATGATCATCCTACACATCTATAATTTGAGAATACTGTTTTCAAACGTATGTTATCATTCTTTTATGGTAGTTTTAATTTTAATGTCTCGAATTAGTCAAATTCTAAGTTCATATGTCTAATGACAGTTAATTTTAACAATATTTTATTTATAAATCAATAAAAACAATGAAAATCCCAACATAGTAAAGTTTGGTAAAGAAACAAATTTGATACAGTTGTATTAGTGGGGGTTGGAAGAATGATAAACCTATAGCAAACCTAGTATAAAAATGTAAGTAAGTTCAAATTTTAATAAAAATATTAAACATATCCCGAAAAATTGTATCTAAATTGTTTTATGTATTCAATGATTAATATTTACATTTCACTTATATTAATCATTGAATACATAAAACAATTTAAATACAATTTTTCAGGATATGTTTAATATTTTTATTAAAATTTGAACTTACTTACATTTTTACACTAGGTTTACTAAAGGTTTATCATTCTTCCCACCCCCACTAATACAGAAAAAAATATTAGAGTTAAGTATTATTAAAATTCACATTTTAATCAAAAGAAATGGCTTGATTTCTTATGTAGTTTACCAAAAAGCAAAAAAAATAATATGTAAATGAGAAATTAAAAAGGTGGGCAAGTGAGTACCGCTTTGTTGTACATTAGAAGTCTTGTGGATGCAGTGACCATTACAGTAAATATAAAGTGTCAGGTTTGAACTCAATGATATAATTGTGTACAAAAATGATTCTCAATTGAGACGGTCTGTCAGTCAGTCTATATTTTAATAATATTTTTAAATTACAACAAAATAACTAAAACCGTTTTTCTTTGTTTTTAAACATCATTAATCTTATTTATTATGTATAAATAATAATTGTTGATAACTATTAAATTATACATTTTGAAAGTTATTGTGTAAAGTAATTCAGTAGTATAATAATAATCTCTCAACAAAATAACATTTAAATATTAATTAAATATATTATTTAGTCCAAATTGGAACTACACATATCTATATAAAAAAAAATGCCTATGTATTTTTTATATACCTATTTTAACGGTGTGTATATAACTTATTAGTTATAAGGAACCTTGTAATACATTTTCAAGCTTTGGACCAAACAAATAAAATTTTATCAACATTTATAAAAAAAAAAACTAAAAATTATTGAAAATTTCAAATGTTCATAAACATATATAGCTCAAAACAAGTCATCATATTTTGAACATTTTATCATGTATAGAAAAAGATAAACATTTGGTGAAACTTTCAGTTTGTTTTTTAATTACAATAAAATGTGATTGATATTCCATGAGAATTTGTTATTTACTAGTAAATATCCAATATCGAAAACATTTAAACAAGGAACCCTCATAAAAAATTAGTTTAATTTTCCGATAAACTTTTTTTCCTAAAGGTAAGAAAACTTGTTGGGAATCTTGTATTACCTTTTCAAGGTTTTTGACTGAAAAAAAAATAACCCTTTTTTCAATTGAAAAATAATGGTATTAACTATTTAAATGGGGTTTGTCTAATTGCACTCATTGTTTATTTATTGAAGTATTAAACGGGATTGAACTCAATTCCAAGAATTTATAATTAGACATAGCATTCGAAAAGATTTTCAACAATAAAAATAATTAATTTTACCCCCAAAAAAAAACAAAATACAATTAATATTATATGTATTATTCTATAAGTATAGGTATAAGTTAGCGGAAACATAAATTTTAAACGCGTAAAAGGAATTAGTTTTAATTGTGACACAAATTGTATGTGTACACTGTACATTTATTAATTTTTTATAGTAATAGGTAAAATAACCAGTGAATAACGTTAATACGCTACTACACGACGCACTTAACTAATTTATAAATGAAACGTAGTTAAATACATATTTGTATATTATCATTTTTAAATTGTAGGTATATGTAATTAATAATTATGATAATGAAAACCACTACAAAATAAATATGAGATATTATTATTATTTATTTTATTAAAAATACAAATTATGCTTTCAACCATCGTCGTGTCGACTTATATCGATCGTTTTGAAGGAGTAATATAGGCAATTTTCTTAGTGAACGCCGTGTAAAAGTGTACTTCTAGCTACCACACATTCCTCTTTTTTCTTTATTATTAATTATCTCATCTACTTAAGTGATCAGCCATAAATGTTTTCCTATACAAAATATTGGATATTTTGGGAGTGATTTAAAATTAATTAACTAAATTTTATTATATAATATAACATATTTATACATAACCCCCCCCCCTAAATATTTTTCTGGCTACCGTCTAGCTGTTGCCTAAGTTTGTGTTGTAATCTATAAATAAAATATCATACCATATTAAAAAACATTAAACAAGGTTAAAAACATATTACAAGAACTACAGAAGTAATAGAAGTTAGAACTGTGTATGTAAGTTATAAATTCATACTGGCAACTCCTATTTATTTATTTTTTTGGTTCAATAAACAAATTTTAAATTTATAACATTTACAATAATAATTTTACTTATTCAAATTACTAACATTATACTTTTATTTCTATAGTTCTAATTTTTAATACTTCTGAAGTTATTTAGGTAATATGTTTGTTTAATATTTTATTTACATTACAGCACGCACGTATACAACAGAATTATACAATGTTTAGTCATGACATTTAACAAGTCATAATGTAAAGCAATTTCATGCACTTCTGACTTCTGAGTTTTGAAATTTACATTAACATAGGTAACAAGTAATAATTAGTTGTACTCCAACATAAATAAAAACAAAATATATAAATTAATATCAACTTGATAACATAATATGTATATTTAAAAATCATAATAGTATTAATTATTATAACTTATAAGTTATAACAATTTAAACTTTTAAGTATAGAGAATAATTTAGAAGATTTCTCGATACCTAACTGGTTTCTTAGTTTTGAACATTTGTATGAACATATCATAACAAATCTTGTAAACAATATACAATTACACTTCAATAAATAACACAACGGCTAATAATTAGTTTTACTCTAACATTAATAAATATTTTTGTTTTTAAATATTAGTAGGTACATTCAGTATTTCATATTAGTAGATCTATTCATCGCAAAATAAATATTGGCGAAATGATCGTGGTGAAATGTGCGTGACACTACTACAAACTACAGTAATTTATACTATTTTGTAGTAACATGACCAAATTAAAGTGTTTAGTATTTTTTAGTCTGAATTTATCTTGATTCTTATAGTCATATTAGAGTATACAAGAAATAGCATATTGCTCACGTACGACGGCGAAGCCCTCGCGTGTTAATTTGTATGTTTCACGAGTAGCCAGTAGGCAGTCTTGTTAAGAATACTTTTCAAATGTATTCAGAATACGTATTTAAATACTTGGTGTCAATTGTATTTAAAATACGTATTCGAATACTTCCTTTTAAAAGTATTTGAATATAAATACAAATACTTTTTAAAAGTATTCAAAATACTTCCACAAATACTTTTTTTTTAGTAAATTATAAATTTTATATTAAAATATTTATGGAATTTATCAAAAAAATATTTAAAAAAAATAAAATAAATAATTATAATAATAAAACACACAATTATTCTAATAGTAGACAGTAATACAGTATATTGTATATTTTAATAGATATGAATTACATATTTGAATTGTATTTTAAAAAAATTGTTTTTTCAAATGTGTTGTCGTCCATCTTTCCTCGACGTTTTGTTAGTATGGCATTGCTAATACTAAATACGCGTTCAATGGGAGCACTGCTAGGCAATGGAGTATTATGACAAATAAAAACTTTTTTTATATTAGGATATTCATTAAGTGATGTCAGTTTTTTTGTAGGGCTTCTACTCAGATATTGAGTTACTTCATTTT